CCCCAAAACCCCAAAACCCCAAAACCCCAAAACCCCTCGAAGCTCTCTCAGTTGAAACTTTTATACTATAATTATTATTAATTCAATGAAAATGGGCTTGACAGACGTAAGGACTCAGATAGAGATAAGATTCAACTGTTATAACCTCCCTCTTTTGCCATCTGTTAAGATATATAAATATCTTACTCTCTGCGGTACAATTTTTGCATTAAGATTCATCATCCTTAAAATCTGAAAATAATTCTTATTTCTAATTCTATTCGAAAGTTTAATAACTCAAAGACTGTTATTGGAGTTCGGAATCAACTTGACCGCTTATTTTTATGAAAAATACTAGAATTCAGTTATCAACATTCTGCTCTTTATTAACAATTTTGAAAAGAATGCGATATCTCAATTTTTGCAACTAATAATAACTTGGTTTAAAAGTATCCTGATTACTCATAAATTGCCTCAATAGATAATTTATGTCAGGAATTCAGTGAGCTTGCATATTATAGGGCTATACTCTCCAGATGCATTCCAATAATACAATTTTAGGCTAAATGAGTCACATCTCAATACCCCATTACGCTTAATTTCGTAAATATAAAAATGATATAGAATAGGTATACAAAGAACCTGAATATACGACCTGCTGAGAATAGGCTAAACCAATTAAATCTTAGCTCATTGCTTGTTAAAGAGAAGAAGCTGAATACCCTTTAAAGGCCCAAGTAAGAAATTTCCTAGCACACTGTCTGCTTCTTCCAGTCTAAAAATTATTGGGAATCATATTTTAAGCAGATAAATATGATCTAAAATAGTAAAAGTATGAAATATTCTTTGTAAACCATAAAGCTGTTTCATTAACTTTGAAAATTTTCTGTGAAAGATCTCCAAATTGACGAGAAATTCTGAGTTTTGTGCAATCACTCATGAAATTATTTTAGCAGTCAGACCTATTAACTTGGCATCAAGAATGAAGAGTAGGATGCAAGACAAGTCTCTTTCGAGAGTGTCTAAAAATAAGTAAGAATTGGTCATTAGCTCAAGCTTTTATGGAGAAATTTGAGTTTATAACAGAGATTAATAAAGATTTTCTTCTGAAATTTCATTTTAACAATTTTTTAGTGGTGTAATCCTCAACCTTTCAAAACCCTTATCCCCACAAGAGAGAGGGAGGGGGAGAGGGGTTTTGAGTACCAGCAAAAGGAAGAATAAAGGTTCCATTCTTTCCTTATCTTTAGATTTTACGCTAATGAATTCAAATTCAAATGACAGGAAGAAGTAAATCTTTTACCTAATGATTAGGGGAGCACCTTATAAGACTAGATACGGAAGCAATAAAAGGTATTTCTCCAGTCTCATTATTAGAAATTATGTAATTTCACCTGGAAAAATTCGAGCCCAGAAGGCTCATCCAAACAAAATGTCATGAGTAACCAATTGATTCCATCCTTTAGACAAATAGAGAGGTTCTACGTAGCAAAATTGTTCGCATAAAGAATAACCAAACTATTTTGAATAATTCTAAGGGAAAGGACAAAAAGATGAATAACTTGTTTACTAATCTCAATTTTGAGAATGAGAGCACAACTACGATCTCCCTAACCAAAGGCATTTCTCCCAACATGAAGTTCCAAAGAGGTTGGCCTTAAGGATAATCTTATAGGAAGAAATATGGAGCAAAGGAAAAATAGATTCGAACCTCTCAGTAATCCCAGCAAGGAGAGAAAAAGAATCCGTAAGCGATTTCTAACCAATAGATGGGAAATTACAACTCTGGATGCATGCAACTCCAGAGAGGAGGATGATGCAGTTCGATTTCAATAAAAAGCAATGCCAGATCGATACAGATTTTGAAGAACTTTACAGAAGCGAGAAAGACTTTAGAGAAGGCTTTACTTCTACTATCAACTCTAAGATTGAGGAATCCAAAGTGGAGTACAGAGAAAACCTTGTATGCAAGATGAAATAAAATATCAGATTCCTTTGAGCTTCAAGATGATGTGTTCTACCGATCTGTGTTTATTTATGATCATTTCGACAGACTCAAAAATCCTGAAATAAACCCTCATAACTTTGTGCCAGAGCATTTCATTGAAAAAATGTTTATTTTTAAAGAAGGTGACGAAGAGGAGGAGTTGAGGAAATACAAATACGTTAAATTCTTTGAATGAATAGCTGCCGTGTTGATCACATTAAAGTTCATAGATAGTGACCGAAATTCTCCAAAAACTCTTGATCTATTGAAATTCTACTGGGCTGAGAGACTCAATCTTGAGATCTTGGATTGAGATATCGAGGATAGTCATTCAATGGATTATAAATAAAAAGAAAATAGAATTATTGTACAAATTAGTTGTTCAAAAGCAACTTGAAATATCATTTAGTCTTGATTGGAAAATACAAAGTATCTCTATTTCTCATTTCCTGGATCATTATAAGAGGATTCTACCTGATGTTCCTGGTTTCCAGTTCAATGAGTCACATAAGATGATTACCCCCAAGCGTATAATCATTGGTAGTCCTCATTCAACAATAAAAACAGACGAAAGCACCCAAGTATTTTATATATAACTCTTTAGGAGAATTGTAAGTCACCTTCTCAGAATGGAAATGCGAGCATCGATATGGCCAAAAGCATCATCAGCAACTGCACAAACCCAAAAATTAAAAATTTTCATAAAATGATGCAGAAGGAAATTATGGAGCTTGTGGATGATATTGGAAAGATGAGCCCTCTTGTCCCTGAATACATCAATTATGATTCTGGAGAAATTGCTACTGCAATCTTCTTAGTGACAATCAATTATTCGTCAAAGCTCCTCTGCTCTAAGTTTGAGCAGAACAAGAAGGAGATCAACGAGCTGAGGGATAAGTACATTAGGGTGTTTAAGGTCCTATACATGAAGTACAAAATGGACAAACAAAGGATTAATTCTTTCGCTATCCTTCTTAACGAAGTGCTTATAAGAGTTAATGAATAGCCTTCTGTAATCTTAATATTCTTTCTAACTAAAATTTATTTTAAATTTCAATTCAGAATAGCCTCCTGGGGTTTTGGGGTTTTGGGGTTTTGGGGTTTTGGGG